AAATATAATACTGAGTTGCTAACTTAATTTTTTTAAAATATTTTTTACTATTCATTTGTTATTATTTATTTTATATTATAACATTTATTATATTAATCTGAAATAATAGAAATTGAACTCAATTATAGATTAAATATTAATATTTTTATTGCTAGAAATTTCGATAAGATTTGGAGATTCAAAAGAGGTAGGAGTTGTAAGAACGAAAGTAGGAATTGTATATTTAACATCAATAAAAATAAGGGTTTTCTAGGACAAGATTAAAGAAAGGCCAAAAGAAGACATAACACTTTCAAGATAGAACTTGTAGGTCAAGGAACATTATTAGAGGCACAAATAACCATGTATGAGGTTTATAGCAGGTTTTAAATTTCGACTCGGGTATATAATCACGAACTTTTGCTTCACTTTTATAATTTTTCAATCATTGGTTGTCTTCTAGAAATGTGGAAAAGCATGTACAAACAGTTCTCAATCCATTACAAGTTTTAAAATCGATGAAATCAATCAACTATGATCGAATTTGCTATGTCCGTCTACCTCCGCTCGGAAAGTCGACTCTTTGCATTTAACTGACAGCTAATTTTTATTTCATTTTTATTAAATTTTAAACATTATGCATTTCTACAAACGTGAAAAATAATGTAAGAACAGTTTCCGATCCTTTACAGCACTTATGTTCAATTAAATCAATTAACTAGGGCAAATCTGTAAACTATATCTTTAAATAATTAAAATACATAATTCAATAAATTTACTAATCGAGTTTTAAAAATAAAGCTTCCGTGATTTTCCAGCACGCTGTTAAAAGTTACAAAAAAATATGTCTAAAGTTTCAAATTGAAGACTTAAATTGCGATAATATGTGTTTTTATGTACGGGATATATTCTAATCAAAGATTCACTCAATCTGAATAGAATAATTTTGTACATTTGTATATTAATCTATCACTGATAGCGCTAAATATGCAACGTTTGATATTACAGTTTACCCTGTTGCCGCTGAATCCTTCATCCACACGTTATCCGCGGTGGATGTTTCCAGAAGGGCACATGCGCCGGATAACCATTCGGTTTAGCCGGCGCTCTTATACGGCGAGCATCCTGGATGCTCTTTATCGACGTTACATCGAGAGGACGACTGCCCGCGCGATTAAAAGACCGACGAGGACGATACTATAGGACGTGGTCGCTGCACGGAGGTAAGGGGTTAACCGAGAGGAACCGGTAGCCACCCAAGAAGGCGGTCTCTTTTCTCTCCGCGCCGAGCCGTTTAACAGGACTCCCTCCAACCCTTTTTCATCCGATCCTTCTTTTTTCCCTCAAGGTTGCCGCCGGGAGATCGAGCTCGGGCGAGCGTGCGAGAGAAAGGAGAGAAGAGGACCGCGCGAGATGTCCTTTGCGCTCGGACGATGCGGGTGAGCTTGTTAGGCTGACGTCTCAATTTTAGCGTTCTCGAGAATCAAGAAATCGCGGAGATCCGACTTGTAAAAGGGGAGAGAGAAAGAGAGAGAGAAAGTAAGAGACGGAGAAAGAAGAGGATACTAGGTTGAAATCGCATAAGCGCCAGAACGGGCCACACGCATTCGCCTTTCGCGTACATAGGAGCGAATGTGTATGCATGTATTACACACATAAATATGCATATATATATATACGTATACACATAATGTATGTGTGTATATACGGGCGTACGTACGCATTCTAGATGCCGCGTTCGAAATAAAGACAAGTCCGAAGACAAGAGAAGATAAAGTATAAGCAAGAGAAAGAGGGAGAGAGAGAGAGATCCCGGCGAGACGGTA